GTCCTCCTTATCTAATTAATCTATAACTAGAGTATTATAATCTAACATGCAACTGCTCTTTGACCTTAATATTTTATCCTATTTTTATAAATAATAAATATAAGCTATTAACTCTAATATCTTCAAGGAAATTTCAGCTAAATAAGCTAAAAGCTTAGACTATTCTGTATTTAAAACTAGTAAAGTTAACTCTGTTTTTAAAATATCTTCTTTTATCTTTTCCTAAGTATTTAATATTTAATTCCACTCCTGCTTACTGTGAAATCACTTTTTATATATCTTACTACTTTAAGTATACTTAGTATAATTTTAACTTTTTAAATCTATAATATATATAATACCTTAATAGATATAATAGGCATAAGGGGACTTAATAGGAAAACTATTAAGATAAATTATATAGTACTGAATAAGTTAATTTCTCTTACAGGTCTTATTATTAACTAGCATGATAATAAAAATTAGAAAGATACTAATATATTAAAATAAGGAAAATAAAAAGATTACTTACCTTAGGGGGCTGCAAGCCTTAAGAATAAAGTTTTGAGGGCAAAATACTAGAAGAGGGGGAGGTGATGTTATAACACTAATACAGCTACACTAGTATAGGGTAGGTATGATGGGCAGAATACAGGAGGCATTACTTACTAATTAACCATGGGGCAATCACTGAATGATCTAGGAAAATACTTAATCTGGACAGGGATCCTATAGAAATACTATCTAGTTATGCCCTACTATATAGTTATCAGATATTCTACACAATGGTGACTAATAGGCTGGTTCCAGCCTCTCATGTGATTGCTACCCTGGGAAATAGGTAATACTAAGATAAGGAGTATTAGACCTACTCTATAACCTACTCTAGAGATACCCCAGGAGTAGTAATAGGAGTTATAAATAGAGTTATAACTAAGGAACTATATAAGGATACTTATTATTATTATACCTAGCACCCTTAGTTTAGTTCCTTATATTTAATATAAATTATTTACTTAAGTATAAGATCACTAGTCTGATTCATTAGTTACTCTCTACTATTAAGTATATATACTTAATAGGCCTTGCTTCTATCTCTACTGTTATTGTTCTTGTGTTACCTTTGGATTGTCCTTAATCCCAGAAGGTCATTGTATTACTGTACCATTAGGCTACCTGGTCAGTAGGCCATAGGCAAGTATAGGCTATAAGTCTAGGGACTATAGCGACCCCGTTCCCAAAGCAGTTGACTAGCAGAGAACAGCAGAGACGGATCCCAGGGTGTGACACTATCTATCTACTATAGAGAAATAGATAAGATCTATAATAATCTATTTATAATTAGGATAATCCTTACTCTATAAAATAAGCTTTAGTTTTTTAATAATAAGGATTAGGGTCCTAATTTATATAATTAATATTATAGAAATTTTAAAAGCTATATAGATCTTTATAAGGAATACTTATTAGCTATATAAGGCTTACTATAGATATTATTTTTAGATATTTAAATATTAAAGATTAATGCTCTTTTTATTCCTGATTTTAATTAATTAATAAGTACTAATAAGATAATATAGTACCTTAAGAGTAATAAATAATATTATTATTCCTACTAATACACTATTAATTAATATTATCTAATAGAGATAGCCCTAATTACTTTATAGATATTCTAGAAAGAGTATAAATATAAATTTCTAGCTCTTATAAAAATAGCTTATAATATACTCTTAATATTAGCTACTAGTACTAGTATTAAATAGCTTTTTAATTCTACTTAAGATATTTATTATTATTATTAAGGCTTACTTAATTCTATAATAATCTAAGATCTAATACTATTTATATATATATTAAGATTTAAAGTAGAAGAGAAGGAGCTTTTCCTTATAAAATAATATCTTTTAAATAAGGAATAGTAAGCCCTTAATAAAGAGAAAGATACTTAATAGCTTTAAAATACTTTTAAGCTAATTAGTAATAATAAAGAAGATAATAGCCTAGAGATTAATATAGACTAGCTAGCTATCTAGTAGCTATCTAAATATATATAAGATAAGAGATAAAGAAGTATAGTATCTAATAGGGAGTAAGAGGGCTAGAAAGTATTTCTATTAGATAATAAAGTAGTTCTTCCTTTATCTAATATATAATAGTATATCTCTGGATGAAATTAGAAGTATATAAGATATAAGGATAATTAGTTCCTTTATTATTAATTATTATTATTATAGGCTAACCTATAATATATATTATATTATATATATAGCTATAGTTATATAGTAAGAGTTAATTAGTATATTAATTAGTATAAGGTTATATAATCAAGCTAGTGTCTACCTTAGATAGGATCTTAAGCTAGTGCCTACCTTAGACAGGACCTTAAGCTAGTATTTACCTTGGATAGGACCTTAAGCTAGTATCTATCTTAAATAGGATCTTAAGCTGCTATCTACCTTAGATAGGACCTTAAGCTAGTATCTGCTATAAATAGGACCTTATTAGTACCTAAGATAGATTATAAGTGCTTAGTAAGCTTAATTATTTAGTAGGCCTTACCTATTATATATAATACTAGCTACCTATACCTAACTTCTTCTTTCTTTAGTAATTATACTTTATTCCTTTATAGCCTATTAGGATAGTTAGAGTATAGCCCTGTACTAGAATTCTAGCCTATAATAATTAGAGAAGAAATAGAAGGGTAATTAGAATAGTTACTCTCCTACTTAGATATATAGTTTAAATATCTATAAATATAAGATAGAACTATATAATTAATGTATATTATATAATCTTTAATATTTATCTAGTTTATTAACCTAACTAGGTTACCTAAAACCTAGTTAGGTTCTATATAAAAGCCTAGAACCTAACCTGGAATACCCCCTTTAAGCCTAAAACCCAGCCTAAGTTGGGTTTAATACATGTTTCAGTTAGGTTACCTGGAACACCTGCCTAGGTCTACTCTCAGTGCAGGGAAAAGACTTTAGACACATATCATCTGCCCTGACGACTGTATACCCCATTGTGGATTGAACATAGCTTGGCCCTATCACATTCTGCGTTGCTAGGGATAATGATGAAGAAGCCTAGAAAGCCCTCTCAATTGACTTATTGGATGTTGCTTGATGATCTTACCAAAATCTTCTTCCTCAGGTCCGTTTCTCCGTCCTTTTAGCAATTGAAGCAGGAAAAGTAGCGTATAAGAAGCCTCTCTATATTTCGCTACAACCTGAAGTAGGCCGCTTATACAGGTGGCCGTTACAAACAGTGATAGGTGAAATGTTCGGTGACAAGGTAGTTTCAAGCATGGAAGCAGTGAACTTAGCCGCCTGTCTTTGTACACAAGAGGTTCTTTGTTGGCGGACTGAGCAGTATGTTGCATGGCTGAGAGTCCGACGAGGTTGCGTTGTGGACCTTTTCCACTATTGCTGAATAGCCGGCGGTCTGAGATTCGAAAATCATGGGAATAGAGCAGCAATGTATTAATGTGGTAGAATACTATACACTGGGCTTAATCCGATAAAAAAGGAATCCAGCAATACTTGTGGGCTTTAGCTGGTTTTTGAAAGATTTAAGTGATTGAGTTCATACCTGTATCGGAGGTAGGAAACTCTGCGCTCGCCAATGTAATAGCCTTCATTCACCTTACTCTCCACGAGGTCTTCCACTAATCGGATCCACCCTGTCCATGTCACTTCCTCAGGTGCAAGTCAGAGGATTGGGCAATCGCAAAGTCGCTTTGGTACTGTATCAAAGCCATGTAAGAGTGAAGAAAGCCTACCGCATTTTCATAAGCTATTCTTCGATCACAGAACCCACCCCTTGAACAGCGGCAATTGTCTTTCCGGGTGCAGATAAGATGCTTAAGCCAAAATCCATAGCTCAGCAGGTATGCTGGAAGAGGTTTGAGTGATATCCGGTGAGACCTAGCTGTAACGAGATGTAGAGGTGCTCTTTCATCAATGATAATTTGTCTTGACCTTAACTTATAATAGTGAAGCGGCATTGCATTGGGCGTAGTCGGCTAGAGGACAAAAAGTCGACGTCATTAGGAGCGTCGTCGAAGTTGAGCTCTCGCCGAAGGTAACGGGCATCGGGGGTGGGTATTTGGATGTTCCCATTCTTTCCATAATACGTAACGGGCAGGAGAAATCTAAAGGATGAAGAAATAGGATCGTTCTCGACTCCTCCGCGGATATCGTAAATGCCATTGGAAAAAGGTGGACGCGGTATCGGGTACTAAACATCAATACATCAATGGTCGCGATCCGAGTGTATACTTCGCAAGTTCATATAGACTTACATCTTCTTCCTCTTCAACTGGGCGCTCTCTCGTAGAGGGTTCTGGATCCCCAGGAGGGCCCTAAATTAGAATCAGTTTCCGCTTCCGATATGATTGTAGCAGCGGTGAAAGGTACGCACCTGAACTCTCACATTGTCATCTACTGGGAATCGTTACTGCAGCGCGTAGGAGACGTCCTGGTTCGAGTTGTGGAGAGAATTTCAATTTAAAAACGGTGCTCAAGTATTCCAGACCCGCAATAGCATCCTTGGGGTCTCCAAATTCTCCTTGTTTTGCGTCTCGCCATAGGTCCGGACGTATGAGATTTCCTCGCAGATCATTCCCTATCCTTTGAATCAACATTACAAGAAACAACTGATACTTGGTTTCTCGGGCGGGGTATTCCGAGACTATACTGGCCATCTCATCAGCCGTGGAATTATCAAGCACATCCTTGTTGAGAGCCTGCACCGCAAATTGCCGACTTTCTGTAATGTTTTTATTTAGAAAATGTGCTTGGGACAACTTTGCTAGACACTTAAAGGCGGTTGGAAGTCTGACGTCTGCTGAGCTGAACTGCCCCTTCATTTCCTCGAAAGCATCCTTTAGGGGAACAAGGTAGGCAAAAGAACTGCTTTTGGCAATAATATAGCCATATACGATCCCGCTTCGGCTTTCTACTACCCATGAACCGGAATCGCCGCGTCTCAAGCCTAAACGATTAGCTGGATCAGAGAATCCTGGTTATCTTGTAGGGCATACCATAGGGCGGTTCAAAGGTCAAAGTCCACACAGAACGGAAATTTCCAGTCGGCATCAGCAGACTTGTGGTGACTGGCCGAAGTAGGGCATGTTGGATCCCCCTGACGCCGGTGAGTACTTGCACAGACGTTGATGTCGCCCCGCTGGCAACTGTGTTCAGGTAGTGAAATTTATCCAACGTTTCAATTGATTGTGTCTCCCCTTCCCGAATTGATGTCCGTACACAATTAGGCAGTAACTTGGAGTATGGGGTAACAGATACTAAAGACCAATCTTTATGCGAGGGTTGCAAGGTCCCTAGTGATGGAAGCTGATCATCTGTAAGTGTCCATGCAATAATGCGCGGCTCTTCCGGTGCCCCCTCAGCAAGAACATGCTCAAATTTGCCTCTGTCAATGACCAATGGTGGCTGGATATTATCGCCATAATCTTCGGCTTCGATTTCATAATCATCGAATTCAGTTGATATGGATTTGCTCGACGTTTCACTTTCAGTAACAGTAGAATGGCCCGCGGTAAGAGCATATAAATAGCCGTTTACTTCCACCAAACCTCCAACTGTCGAGTGGTAGAAGCCTTCCTCATGCTTGGTTCTGATAGTGGCTCCACAGAGTGTATGGTCGAGACTCCTTTCGAGCCATACGTGTTTGAGTTCTGAAGTTGCAKGTCCAACCTGTTCTATAGCACCGATTCGGTAGCAGAGGGGCACCGTGCAGTACTCCCAAAATCTTCTTTTACTCAAAGCTGCATGCAGAAGCTTGACATGTTCCTCATTTCGAGCTCCGGATACACATATGTACGGGGACGGTGGTGGCTCAATAGAGATAAGTTGAAAATTCAAATGGAGTCCCCGGAGCACGTTAAGCCTGCCATCGTTGTTGGAGATTGTATCCTCAATGAGTTGCAGAAATTGTTCAAACCGTACTTTGATTGTGGAATCAAATTGGAGGTCTTCACGTATTGTCTCGTTAGGTCTCAGATATCGCAGTTGTCCGAGCAGCCTCCGCAGTGTGATATTCCTGTCCTCAAGCCTGATGTGAGACCCAGCGTATCTGTTGAATAATCCGATGTGTAGTAGATACATCATGGCTGGTGGACGCACATTTCGTTGACATCTGTCAAACTCCCATTGTCTCTAGGCTTCGAACCATATTAGAAGGGACTTTCCCGAGCATAACGTATTTGTGAGGTAATAATGAAGTTCACATGGATTACATCACGACTCATGCTTTTGACGCTCTCTTACAGCGCAGATTCACTTATAAACCTATTGAACATCAGGATAGTTACGTCAGGTCTTCCAGCCACCCGACCGTTTGGTTTTGCATTCCTCCACGAATTCTTTAGACAAAAAATCAAGCAGTGGAGCCAATACGCATGACATCAAGTCTCATAAGCAAATAGGTTATAAGTAGTGCGAGCCTACGTCTGTATAGGGCAGGTTTATTTGCAAAAAAGCTATTGGACAAAATTCATCTACGCAATGGCCAACGCCAGACTCTCGTTTGAACTCCGCAAGGAAACCCGAGAATCTATAGTATCGCAGTTCTGGGGTCAGTATATGCAATCCATATCCTCCGACATTCTGAAAGAGAGATGGATCGCCGAGCAGGAAGGGATTCTAAAAGACTATTTCAAGTATTATCACGATCAAGTGGCCATACAGGATCCACTCAGGAGTCCAGGAACACTTAAGACACATAAAGAGCTGTTCTTCTTCACCGACCTATTGAAACAAAATGCTGATATACCGCGAACCGAATTGACGGCAGCATGCGAAATGGTGTATGGAAGTCGCCCATATAGTGGCTGCGTAATGCTTACTGAGGGTCTACGGAACCTCCTGGCGAGGTGCAGCAGGGCCGGTCGTCGTATTAATTTCGACTCTGCTTTGGCACTTGCTGTGAGAGTTCTATTTGCTGTTAACATTCCTTCTACCTCCCAGCCTCGGCGTAACAGAATGGTTGTTGGCCAGTCAAACTTGGTCTGGGCTGGCCGTTACTCATTGCGGGAGTTTCTGGATGATACATTTCCAATGAGTGAACAGACTCTGGGGAGTGGTCTCGTCAAAATAAAGCGCACTAAATTAAGAGCTCGCTTCCTGGAGAACCACGCCGACATAGAGATCGAGTGGACAAAACATCTTCCGGATCATTTGAAATTGGAAACTACCGGGAATAGGAAGATTTTGCAAATATTCGAACTTGTATCATTCCTACAGGTATCGTACAATGCAACATGCGCGGAGGACTTTAATCTACCGACCTCAGAAAGCATACGACTGTAAGTTAAACTCCATATAAGTAGAGGACTATAGATCACTGACCGTTGCTCTTCTATTAATTAACAGTGGTTGCTATCGTCCGAGATTCCTTTGGGAGACTTTGAAGACAATGCAGCTACTGTTTCCGCCTGGAGATTGGAATTGGTTAAAGAGCAAGAAAGAAAATTATAAACAGCTCCGTTGCCATTTCGAGGATTGGCACGGCAAAGACGTCAACCTAAGGGCACTTACGGGCGCACAGCTACTGAGGACTTATCCTTATTGGGCAGTTCGTCTGGAGATTCTTTATCAGGAGGCCGAGGACCCGACACCAGTCTCCTGCCTTGGACGATGGGCCGAACGAAGGAAGGCAGCCTGGCATTCCTACCTGGTTGCCTTCTGGGCCATAGTCATCGCCGTATTTTTTGGACTCGCAGCTACCGCTTTAAGTGCAGTTCAAACGTGGATCACGTATCAAGCATGGAAGCATCCTATCAACAGTTCCCAGACATAGATCGTGTACGCATCATTCTCACTTCTCTATGTCTCCTATAAAGCCTCTTGGTTGATTAACAGTCAGATACCCTACCATGGCTGATTCATAACATCTTTCGTTCGGTTTACAGTGAGATTCGAATTAGGAAACTAGTCACCACGCATCCAGTGCCCCCTCAACGGCGTTTATGTAAGCATTTTGTTCTGTTTCCTTGAGGGCACGCTCCTTATTGCATAGGAGTAAGACGGACGGAATTCTGTAAATCTACATTAATGCACACATTACAGAGGGTGAGTTGGAGAACAAGGTCAACGCGCTATTTAGTCTCTACCACAAAAACATGCCGCAGAGATATCCGTATATACGACAATCTCCCTCCCGGGAGCTAGTGAAATCAGGACCTAAGTCTAACAAAGAGATGTATTGCAACGATCTGTAACCATGGGAGAAATGAGCTAGACACATTAAAATCCGTAAACATCCCTCCCGCTCCTATCGCTCCTTCAGTTACCATCCTCAAATTATCATGCTTCCTTATATAACACTCTACTATGATATGCCGCTAGTGCAGCATATTTGAAGCGTAACTCTATCAGCCTTCATAATCTCTCCGCATTTGGGGAAGATACAGCAATATTCCCTCCAGCGACGTGTCCACGGCATTTTTGACTTTGACCGACGAGCTGGCTGGCAAGCTCAGTTATTAAAGTCATTTGCTCCGTTGCTGTCGCAATCCCCTTCTCGTCGCAGCATCGAGCACAGACACGCTGAATATGGATTTTGCTTTTAGGGTAGATGAACTGTGAAAAAAAATTAACACAAGCTTAGGGCCCACCTGACAGATGGAGCAATATCTGGATATGAGCAAATGGTATAGTCACGTTCAATCTCACTTCAGCCACCGGAACCTATCTAGCGAGTTTTACTGTCAGCACCCCGCATGTCTACAGGCCTATGGGCCGTTGACGGAACCGGCATGTCACCTTGAAGATGTGCACTATTATAAGCCTCCTCGCGGAAAGAAGCGATTGTTGGAACCATGAGTGAAGTACAAGACCAGTGCGTTCTTGACCATTCTTCATCTATGTCTCGTTTTCTTGGAGCACTTGGTTATTTCAAGGAGTCAGTACCAGGAATCCTTATTGCCAGTATGACAGCCTCTATTATTCTTAATATCGTCGGCAATGAACGAAGAAAGTCCCAGATATGTATATGGAAAAAGGTTCAATTGCGGCAACAAGTTGATCTAACATAACAAAATTATACTCAAGTGCTTCTTCATACTTGAGTTATCTGTAATACCCCTTGTTTGAGAGCCTGCGCCCATGTGGAGCTACGCAACCCCTCCATTTGCTCTGTATTTTCCCACCTGTCGTAGCCCTATGCGCCCAAATATTTCCCCCAAGAAAGCCGACAAGGTACTCTGTCGCTGTGGTGGACGACAACTCTTGCACCAACAACCAAGTAATTCGAACTCTGCTACTGACTTCTCTCTCTCTCTCAGAGAACCTGGCCGCAGCCTTTTTGGGTCAAGCATCTGAACCAAATCGACGAGGAGGTGCTGTAGCACTCGAAGGGTATTTTCAGCAGCCACCTCATCATCGCCACGCTGGCGGGCACGGACAAGGGCATGAATACCGCTAATTATGGGAAGAAACCAAATGATTATTTCTGCTTTGTCCCGGTCGTCCCAGTGATCCGGACGGATACCGCTTTGAATCCAGTCAACCTGTGCTGCCCTTATTCCAGTACTCCGCTCGGCCATCTTCCATTTTTTCGTAAAGTCCGAGTAGCCCATGCAGAATAACTCTCCATCTGCACTACTGTTGTCCCTAACAGTCATGATCTCGCCTATGGCTCTCTGGTGGCCCTTAAATAGTATGAAATAAGGGACATCATTACGGTCTGAGCTTGCCAAGCGTCTCCAGGCTTCCTGCTCAGGACTAGCTCCCAGTTGCCAACCCTTGTTCAGGACGGCTGTAATGTTGTCCAGTACTTCAATAAACTCCCTTGTGCGTCTGGGCTGTTTCTCCTCGGTGGTGAATGCGGTGAATTGGACCTGCCGCCGCAATATATTCGTCCACGCAAGATACTGGCCCACCAAGTACGCGGTATACACAAAAATCGTGTCTTGATACACCTCCGATCGTTCAGCGAAATAGAGAACGCTCCTTCCTGGTTCGCTTCTGTCCAGGATGTTGAAAAGCCGGGCTTGGAGCTCCTGTGCTGCAAGAAGGAGAGGTTCACGGTATTTGCGAAGGAGCCTTTCAGCTTCGCGGACGGCCTTGTGCTCATCAATTCTAAAGGTGAATATCCCGCTCATAAGAGCTACCCCTAATGCCGTGACCAAGGAGATTACAGAGACGACTATGGCTGCGGCGTCAAGCATTGTGCTGAGGAATTGATATCTAGAACGGCTAACCTAGCGGATTCAAGTCAATCGTGGGCTGCGCCGCTTATAGAAACAATGCCTTGAGTTCTAGAACGGGAGAACGATTCAAGTTTGCGGGCCTAGAAAGCATTCACTAAAATAACATTGGCCAGTTGTGGAGATGGGATTGATATGACGCAAGTAGTATCGGCGTCCAATATAGAGCCTTTCAGTTGAGACTCTCTGGTTCCTACTTACGTCGCTGGATGGCTTGAGGAGCCGTTTGCAGAGAGAGTTGGAATATGATCAGTTTATGAGTCCAGCCCAATCTAAATTGTGGGCTTGCATTACCTGACGTTTGCATACTTTTACCGGGTAAATGGAAGATCTCTTCCCACAATGACATCAAGCCCTCTCTTATCGCAAGCTGGTGGAGAAATTGGAACAATCACAGATTTGTAACGTAAGTGTCTTGAGTTCGACCTCATGTAGTGGAACGAATCTATCTAGCCACACATAAGGATTAGCTATAATGGGATACTTGTAAATCGTTTCGGGGAGGGGTCAGGTCATGAAATCACCACCATCATCGACTGCACCCAAAATTACGGTAAAGCAAGTGATTCTATTGATTCCACATCGGACGAAATAGAGCTCGCAACCATCTTCGCGTATATTTACCCGCCGCCAATAAGTTTAGATCTTTCCTCACCGTAAAACTGCAACCACCCGAATTGTCGATCGGGAAAGGTCAAATTGGAAATCGGAGAATTTCCTGGATGTCGTCCAAGAGATATGGTGCTCTACCCCGCCTCATCAGATGCTATGTGACGGAATTGTAGAGATTGTTTCGACCAATGTCGAGTATCCCTTAAACCAGGAGAGTCTGAACGATGTTATTATTGAAAACCCTAAATACTGTGGCGGTCCTGAAGCGGATGATCAGACTGATGAAGCATGAAAAATCCGCAACAAGTCAACATGTTATTATTACCTATGGGAGCGGGCGCCACCTTTATAGAGAGGAGCGCATAAAAATTGAAAGGCCAAGACCATAAAATTAAAAGACATAATATCAGAAGTCGCAAATTCAAATGCGTAAAATGTCAAAATGTTAAAATGCTTACTTAGCTTTCTCGCCTTCTAAGAATATAATTTTATCATGGGCGCTAACCCGCCGGTTACTCAAAGATCCCCACTCCCATAAGAACTGAGGGGGTAGCTCCTACTTAGTGTGTACTTTGAGACAGCAGCAGCATGCCAGCAAACCATCTAAGTTATGATGAACTAACAATAATTGGAATGGAAATTTTCACTAGATTATGTATATTTAGAATAAAGCTAGATAGTAGGGAAAGTTAAAAACAAAATAATGCAAAGCATACTGATTAATTAATAAACTTCTTCTGTGTTGTTGCCTGCAGCATATCTCATGCTTTAGAGGTAGTGGTCCATCTTGCAACATATCAGAAGGTGTCTTCCTATGTGATATTCTGTGAAGCAGTGCATCCAAGTTGATCCTGCACCACCCTAAGAAGCTTAGCTTATTAATGGTGGCTAGTGTACCTTAAGCTTACAGAGGTGTGATAAGGGGACTTAGATAGGGTAGCTTTATCACCCTCCCTATTTCTCTATTATAGTGCTAGCAACTTGCTGTTATGCTTTAATTACATCTTGCTGGTGGTTGATTGAAGATCCATATCTAGAGAGAGGAGTGGCTCTTCAAGATAGAGTTGCATTTGGTGCGAGTTCGGGCGAGTCCAACCTTAGTTGGAACCGAACCGCTGCGATTTTGAGTTGAAATTTTAGAAATCAAATCCAAATTAAATTCAATGCAGGTTGGTTGCAGTTTCACTATAAAAAACCATAGCTAGGCCTAGCTAGGCATAGCTAGGCCTATACTAACTAACTATGGTTAGATTCAGTGTGGTTTTGAGTTAGATAAACTACTATTCTTAACTATATATATTGAGCTTAGAAGATGTGATAATATCTCTTTATATACTAATTATTTTGATTTAAAATATTATTTATATAAGAGTAGAGATGCAGAGGTTTCATCTTAACCTAGTAAGTAATAGATTTAAGATATATTAGGTGAGTTCATAGTTTACAGCTAGATATATAATAAAATATATAAATATATATATATATATTATAAGTATTTATATATAATAGTAACTATAATATATTATATTAGCCCTCTCATACCTATTAATAATCTAAATATACTAAATCTAACTATAGTTAGATTAAGAAAGGATATATAGCTTTAATAGATTTAATATAACTAAGAATGTGCATAAGAACTATATAACTAACTAAGTACTATATAACTAACCAAGTACTATATAACTAACTGAGTTAGAGTTGCATTTGGTCCGAGTTCGGGCGAGTCTAACTAGGGTTGGAACTAAACCACTGTGATTTCGAGTCCAAATCTTAGAAATCAGAACCAAACCTGATCTATTCTGATTTGGTTCAAGTTTAACCGCAAAAACCCGCTACTAGGCCTAGATAGGCCTAGCTAGGTCCCTACTAACTAACCATAGTTAGATTTAGTTTAATTTTGGGTGAGTTAAACCACTATTATTTAGTGAATTTTTGCTGTTTTGAAATTTTAAATAATTATTAACTGCTATACTATCTACCATACTATTACTATACTTATAGAAAATTAATATTTTTATATAAAATATATAGTATTTATCATTATAATAATCTATGTCTAAAATATTGATTTAATATCTATAGGGTTAAATAGATAGTGGTTAAAATTATTATTAGATCATAGTGATTATCAAAGGTTGATATATATATATATATAAATCATCACCACTTTCATACCAACCTGTAACAGAAATGATTATTCTCTTATATCTAAGCAACAACTAGGTATTTTGAATTAATATTTATATATTTAGATAGCCTAGATATAGGGCTATCTAGTGATATTAAAATTATTAGATATATCCTAGAAATTAGTGATTTCTATCCAAAATAGTGAGGGTTGGTTAGTCAAATCTGATAAATCCTCAAAAATTAAAACTAACAGTTTTAACCAAACTTGAATTAGTTCCAACCTAGGGAAACCGAAACCAGTGCAATTCCATAGGCTTAGAACCGAACCCTCACTGCTGTGAGTTCAGTGAGGGTCGGATTTGATTTTAGCAGTTCGGTTATGCAACTCTAAACTGAGTACTATATAACTAACTAAGTACTTGTGAAGTTCTACATAACAGGGTAGATAGCCTGTTGACTAGGTAAGAATTAGTAATGATAATCAATAAGAGAGAATAGTAGAGAGTAGTAGATTATATATATACAAAACTAATCCTTATCTTCTTGAGTATCAGATAAGGGGGATACTATTTATCTTTACTAACTATCCTAAATATATTTAGTAATGATTTGAAAACAGCTCAAGGTATAGAAATAGGAGACTAAAAATAATTATAAAGCAAGGGATGACTATATAACTAGGTGGCTAGGCTATAGCTAAACCTTTATAATTATACCCCTTCCTATTATAATAACTATCCTTAGTCAGAGTTAAATAACCTTAAAATTTCCTAAAGAAGTAAATAATATTATAATAGTTAATATAATATAATATTATTAATAGAGATAACTAATTATAGGGTAGATATAATACTTCTATTATATTAGCTTTATATATTTTAAAATTTATTATATTCTTTATTATTATGTACTATGGTGTGGTAGTAAATAATATTATTATAGGTAATAACTATAGTATATTTATCTTAATTATATCTTTATTTATATTTTCTCTTCTTTTAACTTTATATATTAATGCTTCTCTTTTATATTATAGTATTTTCTTTAGTATTATAGTTCCTTTTTATTTATTAATACCTAAGATTTAGGTCCTTTTAAACCTTATAATCTCTCTTTTATTTCTACTATATTTTGCTTCTTCTTTATGTTTCTTGCTATTAAGTTTTATTATAGTAAATACTATTACTTATAGAAAGTATTAGTATATATATTACCTCTATACTATATTAAAGAACTTTGACCCCTAGGGGGGCTTTCTTTTTAAAGTTAACTATAAGCTTATAGATAGTACTTCTATAAAGTATACCTAGTATAACACCTACTACTTGCTCTGTGAACCTATATATTTTATTAATCTTATATATTATTTTTAATATTAATAGTTATTTCTTTAGGCCGCGCCTAGAATAGCTAGAAATACCCTTAACCTATCTACTATTATTAAATAGTATACTGCGTTCTTTAATACCTAGTATACCTAGGATCTAAGCCTCTTTATAGACTTTTTAGTTATCCTTTTTAGGCTTATTAATGCCTTTAAAAATATAGAGTAGAGCCACTGTTAGTTATATAGCATTATAGGAAAGAAAAAGGAATAGTGTATAAGTTTCTAGATTAATTTATTACTATTAAGCTATCTTAATACTAATATTATTATAGAGTAATGAGTATAATAAATTCCTTAAAGGTTATTATACTAAATTAGCTTATATTTAGTACMTAGACAGTGGGGCTACTATTAATAATTAGGCTGTCTATTATTTAGCTAAAGCTCTTTAACTTATACCTGGTAATACTAGGTATATAGCCTGGGCTACCGCCCTCCTTTTCTTTATAGAAGAGATTAGGGTAATTAGTATCTATTTCTATAGTAATAAAATAGTAGCTACTAGCCAGGCTTATCTAGCTAATATTAATTAGTCTTTTCCTTTAGTACTTAAAGATATTTAAGTTAGTATTATATTCTGCCTTTATCTATTATACTTAGCTTTAGCTAAGCCTTCCCAGCACCTTTATATTAGTTAATAGTAGTAATTCTTTTCTTATATTTCTGTATTACTTCTTGTGTATTAGCTATATTATTAGTATAAATCCACTAGTTGTATTCTAAGGGCTAGTCTTTCTATTTAACTAAATAGTACTACTTATCTTTAATAATATAACTATCCTTAACCTCTTTAACCTCCTATTTATCATTATCTTTKAGCTCTGGTATT